TTTTTAATTTCGTTTTTTAAAACTGGTTTTCCTATATTTCAGGGGAGGACGAGGGGACGGGGATGGTGGGGAGGACGAGGGGACGAGGGAGTGGGGGATGGTGGGGAGGACGAGGGGACGGGGGAGTGGGGGATGGTGGGGAGGACGAGGGGACGGGGGAGTGGGGGATGGTGGGGAGGACGAGGGGACGGGGGAGTGGGGGATGGTGGGGAGGACGAGGGGACGGGGGAGTGGGGGATGGTGGGGGAGGACGAGGGGACGGGGGAGTGGGGGATGGTGGGGAGGACGAGGGGACGGGGGAGTGGGGGATGGTGGGGAGGACGAGGGGACGGGGGAGTGGGGGATGGTGGGGGAGGATGGTGGGGAGGACGAGGGGACGGAGGGAGGGGAGGGGGATGGTGGGGAGGACGAGGGGACGGGGGAGGTGGGGATGGTGGAGTGAGGACGAGGGGACGGGGGAGTGGGGGATGGTGGGGAGGACGAGGGGACGGGGGGGGGGGGGTGGGGGATGGTGGGGAGGACGAGGGGACGGGGGAGTGGGGGATGGTGGGGAGGACGAGGGGACGGGGGAGTGGGGGATGGTGGGGAGGACGAGGGGACGGGGGAGTGGGGGATGGTGGGGAGGATGGTGGGGAGGACGAGGGGACGGGGGAGTGGGGGATGGTGGGGAGGACGAGGGGACGGGGGAGTGGGGGATGGTGGGGAGGACGAGGGGACGGGGGAGTGGGGGATGGTGGGGAGGACGAGGGGACGGGGGAGTGGGGGATGGTGGGGAGGACGAGGGGACGGGGGAGTGGGGGATGGTGGGGAGGACGAGGGGACGGGGGAGTGGGGGATGGTGGGGAGGACGAGGGGACGGGGGAGTGGGGGATGGTGGGGAGGACGAGGGGACGGGGGAGTGGGGGATGGTGGGGAGGACGAGGGGACGGGGAGTGGGGGATGGTGGGGAGGACGAGGGGACGGGGGAGTGGGGGATGGTGGGGAGGACGAGGGGACGGGGGAGTGGGGGATGGTGGGGAGGACGAGGGGACGGGGGAGTGGGGAATGGTGGGGAGGACGAGGGGACGAGGGGGAGTGGGGGATGGTGGGGAGGACGAGGGGACGGGGGAGTGGGGAATGGTGGGGAGGACGAGGGGACGGGGGAGTGGGGGATGGTGGGGAGGACGAGGGGACGGGGGAGTGGGGGATGGTGGGGAGGACGAGGGGACGGGGGAGTGGGGGATGGTGGGGAGGACGAGGGGACGGGGGAGTGGGGGATGGTGGGGAGGACGAGGGGACGGGGGAGTGGGGGATGGTGGGGAGGACGAGGGGACGGGGGAGTGGGGGATGGTGGGGAGGACGGAGGGGAGGGGACGAGGGGGGAGGGGGGGATGGGGGGAGGACGAGGGGACGGGGGAGTGGGGGATGGTGGGGAGGACGAGGGGACGGGGGATGGTGGGGGGACGAGGGGACGGGGGAGTGGGGATGGGGGGAGGACGAGGGGACGGGGGAGTGGGGGGTGGGGATGGTGGGGAGGACGAGGGGACGGGGGAGTGGGGGGATGGTGGGGAGGACGAGGGGACGGGGGAGTGGGGAATGGTGGGGAGGACGAGGGGACGGGGGAGTGGGGGATGGTGGGGAGGACGAGGGGACGGGGGAGTGGGGGAGGACGAGGGGACGGGGGAGTGGTGGGGAGGACGAGGGGACGGGGGAGTGGGGGATGGTGGGGAGGACGAGGGGACGGGGGAGTGGGGGATGGTGGGGAGGACGAGGGGACGGGGGAGTGGGGGATGGTGGGGAGGACGAGGGGACGGGGGAGGGGGGGATGGTGGGGAGGACGAGGGGACGGGGGAGTGGGGAATGGTGGGGAGGACGAGGGGACGGGGGAGTGGGGGATGGTGGGGAGGACGAGGGGACGGGGGAGGGGGGATGGTGGGGAGGACGAGGGGACGGGGGAGTGGTGGGGAGGACGAGGGGACGGGGGAGTGGGGGATGGTGGGGAGGACGAGGGGACGGGGGAGTGGGGGATGGTGGGGAGGACGAGGGGACGGGGGAGTGGGGGATGGTGGGGAGGACGAGGGGACGGGGGAGTGGGGATGGGGGGGACGAGGGGACGGGGGGTGGGGGATGGGGGGAGGACGAGGGGACGGGGAGGGGGGATGGTGGGGAGGACGAGGGGACGGGGGAGGGGGGGATGGTGGGGAGGACGAGGGGACGGGGGAGTGGGGGATGGTGGGGAGGACGAGGGGACGGGGGAGTGGGGGATGGTGGGGAGGACGAGGGGACGGGGGAGTGGGGGATGGTGGGGAGGACGAGGGGACGGGGGAGGGGGGATGGTGGGGAGGACGAGGGGACGGGGGGAGTGGGGGGATGGTGGGGAGGACGAGGGGACGGGGGGAATGGTGGGGAGGACGAGGGGACGGGGGAGTGGGGGATGGTGGGGAGGACGAGGGGACGGGGGAGTGGGGGATGGTGGGGAGGACGAGGGGACGGGGGAGTGGGGGATGGTGGGGAGGACGAGGGGACGGGGGAGTGGGGGATGGTGGGGAGGACGAGGGGACGGGGGAGTGGGGGATGGTGGGGAGGACGAGGGGACGGGGGAGTGGGGGATGGTGGGGAGGACGAGGGGACGGGGGAGTGGGGGATGGTGGGGAGGACGAGGGGACGGGGGAGTGGGGGATGGTGGGGAGGACGAGGGGACGGGGGAGTGGGGGATGGTGGGGAGGACGACGGGGGGAGTGGGGGATGGGGGGAATGGTGGGGAGGACGAGGGGACGGGGGAGTGGGGGATGGTGGGGAGGACGAGGGGACGGGGGAGTGGGGGATGGTGGGGAGGACGAGGGGACGGGGGAGTGGGGGATGGTGGTGGGGGAGGACGAGGGGATGGTGGGGAGGACGAGGGGAGGGGGAATGGTGGGGAGGACGAGGGGACGGGGGAGTGGGGAATGGTGGGGAGGACGAGGGGACGGGGGAGTGGGGGATGGTGGGGAGGACGAGGGGACGGGGGAGTGGGGGATGGTGGGGAGGACGAGGGGACGGGGGAGTGGGGGATGGTGGGGAGGACGAGGGGACGGGGGAGTGGGGGATGGTGGGGAGGACGAGGGGACGGGGGAGTGGGGGATGGTGGGGAGGACGAGGGGACGGGGGAGTGGGGGATGGTGGGGAGGACGAGGGGACGGGGGAGTGGGGGATGGTGGGGAGGACGAGGGGACGGGGGAGTGGGGGATGGTGGGGAGGACGAGGGGACGGGGGAGTGGGGGATGGTGGGGAGGACGAGGGGACGGGGAGTGGGGGATGGTGGGGAGGACGAGGGGACGGGGGAGTGGGGGATGGTGGGGAGGACGAGGGGACGGGGGAGTGGGGGATGGTGGGGAGGACGAGGGGACGAGGGAGTGGGGGATGGTGGGGAGGACGAGGGGACGGGGGAGTGGGGGATGGTGGGGAGGACGAGGGGACGGGGGAGTGGGGGATGGTGGGGAGGACGAGGGGACGTGGGAGTGGGGGATGGTGGGGAGGACGAGGGGACGGGGGAGTGGGGGATGGTGGGGAGGACGAGGGGACGGGGGAGGGGGGATGGTGGGGAGGACGAGGGGACGGGGGAGTGGGGGATGGACGGGAGGACGGGGGAGGGGGGGGGATGGTGGGGAGGACGAGGGGACGGGGGAGTGGGGGGATGGTGGGGAGGACGAGGGGACGAGGGAGTGGGGGATGGTGGGGAGGACGAGGGGACGAGGGAGTGGGGGATGGTGGGGAGGACGAGGGGACGAGGGAGTGGGGGATGGTGGGGAGGACGAGGGCGAGGGGCAAGGGGGGGAGGACGAGGGGACGAGGGAGGGGGGGATGGTGGGGAGGACGAGGGGACGGGGGAGTGGGGGATGGTGGGGAGGACGAGGGGACGGGGAGTGGGGGATGGTGGGGAGGACGAGGGGACGGGGGAGTGGGGGATGATGGGGAGGACGAGGGGACGAGGGAGTGGGGGATGGTGTGGAGGACGAGGGGACGAGGGAGTGGGGGATGGTGGGGAGGACGAGGGGACGAGGGAGTGGGGGATGGTGGGGAGGACGAGGGGACGAGGGAGTGGGGGATGGTGGGGAGGAGGATGGAGGACGGGGGACGAGGGAGTGGGGGATGGTGGGGAGGACGAGGGGACGAGGGAGTGGGGGATGGTGGGGAGGACGAGGGGACGGGGGAGTGGGGGATGGTGGGGAGGACGAGGGGACGAGGGAGGGGGGGATGGTGGGGAGGACGAGGGGACGAGGGAGTGGGGGATGGTGGGGAGGACGAGGGGACGAGGGAGTGGGGGATGGTGGGGAGGACGAGGGGACGAGGGAGTGGGGGATGGTGGGGAGGACGAGGGGACGGGGGAGTGGGGGATGGTGGGGAGGACGAGGGGACGAGGGAGTGGGGGATGGTGGGGAGGACGAGGGGACGAGGGAGTGGGGGATGGTGGGGAGGACGAGGGGACGAGGGAGTGGGGGATGGTGGGGAGGACGAGGGGACGAGGGAGTGGGGGATGGTGGGGAGGACGAGGGGACGAGGGAGTGGGGGATGGTGGGGAGATATGTACACTATTGCCTTAGGCCTAATATATGTACACTATTGCCTTAGGCCTAATATATGTACACTATTGCCTTAGGCCTAATATATGTACACTATTGCCTTAGGCCTAATATATGTACACTATTGCCTTAGGCCTAATATATGTACACTATTGCCTTAGGCCTAATATATGTACACTATTGCCTTAGGCCTAATATATGTACACTATTGCCTTTAAAACTTATAGTGCCCCCTTCCTCTCAAGCAGTACGTCTTATCTTATATAGTAAGACGTACAAATTACAGTGTACTATGACAAGTAGCGGCTCACACATATCCACGTTTTCTTTGCATGGGGTAGGTGAGGCTAGGTGGGTGGGTTGGGGTCGTCCGTCTCAGGTTAACACATGGTATAATGTCTCCTAGTGGCGCGTCCACAGAACGGCCTGCTTTGTTAGGTCTTAGTGGTCTCTGGTCGGGTCTTAGTGGTCTCTGGTCGGGGTCTTAGTGGTCTCTGGTCGGGTCTTAGTGGTCTCTGGTCGGGTCTTAGTGGTCTCTGGTCGGGTCTTAGTGGTCTCTGGTCGGGGTCTTTGTGGTCTCTGGTCGGGTCTTAGTGGTCTCTGGTCGGGTCTTAGTGGTCTCTGGTCGGGTCTTAGTGGTCTCTGGTCGGGTCTTAGTGGTCTCAGGTCGGGTCTTAGTGGTCTGGGCTCGGGTCGGGTCTCTGGTCGGGTCTTAGTGGTCTCTGGTCGGGTCTTAGTGGGTCTCTGGTCGGGTCTTAGTGGTCTCTGGTCGGGTCTCTTAGTGGTCTCTGGTCGGGTCTTAGTGGTCTCTGGTCGGGTCTTAGTGGTCTCTGGTCGGGTCTTAGTGGTCTCTGGTCGGGTCTTAGTGGTCTCTGGTCGGGTCTTAGTGGTCTCTGGTCGGGTCTTAGTGGTCTCTGGTCGGGTCTTAGTGGTCTCTGGTCGGGTCTTAGTGGTCTCTGGTCGGGTCTTAGTGGTCTCTGGTCGGGTCTTAGTGGTCTCTGGTCGGGTCCTAGTGGTCTCTGGTCGGGTCTTAGTGGTCTCTGGTCGGGTCTTAGTGGTCTCAGGTCGGGTCTTAGTGGTCTCTGGTCGGGTCGTAGTGGTCTCTGGTCGGGTCTTAGTGGTCTCTGGTCGGGTCTTAGTGGTCTCTGGTCGGGTCTTAGTGGTCTCTGGTCGGGTCTTAGTGGTCTCTGGTCGGGTCTTAGTGGTCTCTGGTCGGGTCTTAGTGGTCTCTGGTCGGGGTCTTAGTGGTCTCTGGTCGGGTCTTAGTGGTCTCTGGTCGGGTCTTAGTTGTCTCTGGTCGGGGTTTTAGTGGTCTCTGGTCGGGTCTTAGTGGTCTCTGGTCGGGTCATTCTCTTAATAGGTCATTGGGACTAATTGAATCAAAAGTGAACTCTTTAGTTTGGTCCAACAGGCCATTTTTGTACGTTTGGCCAAATAGGATAAGTAGAACATGGGCGGTATTTTGAGTAGGGCGTGTTATCTGTGTGTTATCTGTGTGTTATCTGTGTGTGTCAATCACTCCTCCCGTAATGGGTAGCGCACGTGCCATATTTATGCCATATTGCACAAGTTGCAGCCGTCATTAGTGCATACTCACCAGATGGCGCGCCTCCAGTATGGCAATAAATTCTTGCATGATTTGATTTTCATCCGTGATTGATGCTGCCGCCGGGGGGGGGGAGGGGTCACAAGTCGCATGACGGCCCTCTCCTTAACGAGGGCCGTCAAAGGCCCTTCTCACACACCTGTTCTCTCACACCTGTTCTCTCACACACTTGTTCTCACACACCTGTTCTGGGGTTGACGCAGCCCCCCCCCCCCCCCCACTCACACTGACCGCTCAGTATACAGTGTGGTGTCAGCATATGCCAGCAAGCCGCTGCAAGCAGTGTTCTGCCTCAGCATGGTGTGTGAGGCGGCCAAGTTTATCCTGCTATAATTTAAGTGGTGTGTGACGCACCAAGTGATTTGTCATGTTGAGTAATGACTCAGTGTGTTACGGTCCGTTACGGGGTTACTGGGTCTGGTGACGTGAGGGAGTTTGGGGATATCGTATGTTATCCTAGAGTCACTCACTCTCTGTCACTGAGGACACATTGACCACAGTGCCAGCCGAGGTTGGCACTGTATGTGTGTGTGTGTTTCAGGCAACCAGTGCCAACAAGTGCTGCTTGTTCAGGCCAGGCCAGGCCAGGCCAGGCCAGGCCAGGCGTCTGAAGGAGATTACAAGCAACACTTAAGCCTCCTTCACATCGAACTCAGTTCGGGAAAAGTGCCAAGAGCAGAGGCTTGAGGCGTGGGGAGTGTGGTGGAGGCTCCCGGACGGCGCCTCGGAGGAGAAGGAATAATATGTCGCTGTGAAATAAGAACCAAACAGTCAGGTAACAAGGCAATTCCCCCAAGGAATTTGATTTAATAGCTAATGACTTAATATGACCGTTGGAGAGGTTCTCTTGCCTGCCAGACAAGAGGGTTGACGGGGCAGAATAATCGCCAGTCGGATAACCAGTAATTAAATGAATTGCTCAATTTATTAGTTAGATAGTGTGTGTGTAGTTTTAATGTTACAGCAGCCACCGGCTGACACAGTGGCAACTCAACAGCAAGGGCAGCTACTTGACCAGTGTTGCAAGCAAACTCCACAATGTGGGGGGCGGGGGGGGGGGGGGGGGGGTGTAACACCGTAAAGGTGTTTGGTTTAGTTTTATTTAATATATACATAGAGATACATGAGTCAGAGACAAGGATTTGAGAGGCACCAGTTTGTCGGCCTGAGTCTCACACCTCTAAGCGTTAATGACCTCAAGTTGACCTGATGTCAGCTCACACGAATTTCACCTTGCTTCCGCCAATCTGATAATTGTAGCGTGGTAGCCGTCAAACATGCCGACGTTTAAGGAGTGGCTTGGTAGAGTGCCTCAGGCTATCTACTTGTGGGCGGAGTTAGCTACTAGGTTCCCCA